GGGGGGGGGGGGGGGGGCGGCCCCTCCCTTCACAGCCAGGGTGGGAGTGTCGTGATAACCCGCAGCCCCCACTTCCTCCCGGCCAGGAAGGAGCCAGGCAGAGGAAGTATTAAGAGGAGTAATATAAACACTCCCCCCACCCCCCGTGGCAGGGTGCAGAGGGGGCAGCGGCCGCCACCCGGAGGGAGCAGGCCACGCCGGGCGGGCAGCGGGCGCTTGCACACGATGGGGCTGGCGGCGGAGCACGGCGCGTACTCCCGGGAGGGGGGCGGCCCGAGGGGCTGCTGGTACTACCTGCGCTACTTTTTCCTCTTTGTGTCGCTCATTCAGTTCCTCATCATCCTGGGCCTCGTCCTCTTCATGGTCTACGGCAACGTGCACGTGAGCACGGAATCCAACCTGCAGGCCACCGAGCGCCGGGCCGAGGGCCTGTACAGCCAGCTCGTGGGGCTCACGGCCTCCCAGGCCAACCTGTCCAAGGAGCTCAACCTCACCTCCCGCACCAAGGACACGGTCATGCAGCTGCTGGGGAGCGCCCGCCGCGATCTGGACCGGATCAACGCCAGCTTCCGCCAGTGCCAGGCTGACCGGGTAAGGCCGCCCGCCGGGCCGGACACGCACCCCGGGGACCCTGGGCAGGTTCCCGTCGGCTCATCCGAGCTGCGGGGTCCTCACCCACGCGCCAGAGACCGTCACAGACGCTGTTTTGCACGTGAGGAGCCCGGCGGGGAGGGGGGGGGGGCTTGTTAGTACGAGTATATCCCACAAGAGGTTCGGGACACACTTATACTAAGACAGTGGGCTCGCTCTCCCTCTGGAATTTAAGGTTAATTTTTTTTTTAGAGGCTTATTTATTTTTGAGAGACAGAGTGAGACGGAGCATGAGCGGGGGAGGGGCAGAGAGAGAGAGAGGGAGACACAGATCGGAGACAGGCTCCGGGCTCCGAGCTGTCGGCACAGAGCCCGACCCGGGGCTCGGACTCACGGACCGCGAGATCCTGACCTGAGCCGAAGTCGGACCCTTAACCGACTGAGCCGCCCAGGCGCCCCTGGAATTTAAGTTTAGCTGGGCATCCTCACTGAATTGGCGGCAGCAACCCTGGGCCCATGACTTAATATGCGCGAAGCGCTCGGAATGTTCCAGCACACACCAGCTGCAAATAAGAACCAGTTAGATAAAAACTCAGAGCATTCGGTTCCTACTAAGAAGTACGAACAGCTCTGCCTTATGCCGGGAAATGTCCCCCCGGGGGGCACATGTGGGCGTCAGGTCAGGGAATTGGCCCAGTCGTTTCATCCAAGACACGCACCGCCATCCGGTCTGGGAGCCGTCAGGATCGTAAGGTTTTAGACACACGCATCCCGGAATCTGAACTCCCCCGTCATAGAAAATTAGAAGCCTAAGAATGTGGATCTTTACAACGATTAAATTTGAAAAACACAGTTGTTGTTTTTCTTTAATCCCCTTCGTGTTGACAAATGCCTCTGGACTGGAACAGTTTAGGGTTTTCTCCAAGGACCCTAGGGGTTCCCTAGTTTCAGGTCGCCTGCCCCTCGGCCCGGAGGGGCGCCCTGATGCCGGGGAGTATCTCTGCCCCCACCCCCACCGTGGCGGCCCCAGGTATGTGATGTTGGTGTTTCTGGATCCTGGCCGTGCTGAGAAACAGGATTTTTCTTAAATTCTCTTCCAGTGCAACTGCATTTCTGGCCCTGAGATCCCGGAAGAGAAAAGAGAATTTAACTCACTGATATATTTTTAAAAAACGTGTTCATCTCCCCTGCTTGTTTCTTTTCTTTTTCTTTCTTTCTTTCTTTCTTTTCCCATCTTATCCCATCTTATGTTATCCCACCTCATCTTATCTTATCTAGAGAGAATGTGAATGGGGGAGAGGGGAGAGGGAGAGAGAGAGACCATCTTAAGCAGGTCCCACATTCGGCGACACAGGGCTCGATCCCACAGCCTGAGCTTTCTGCCCCTCTTTGTCCTTGCTCCTTTGGAGGCTAGCCCTATGCTAATGGGATCGGGGTCAAGGCAGAAATCGCTCTGGGACCTCCAGTGACTTCTGTTTTCAGAAATCTTAACTGCAAAAGAGGAAGATCTGTAGAAATCAAGAGTCAGACGCTAAACCAACTGAGCCACCCAGGCACCCCTAACTCCATGATATTTTTAGGGTCTGCTCTGTCCTGTCCGTGTCAAGGCAACGGGACCCTCACCTGGCACATGGGGTCTGGAAGCAGCACCCCGGGACCCCCTTTTAACGCTTCCTCCAACTGGAGAAAAACCTCTTTCTCGTTTCGTGTTTGGATCCAACTCACTTTGCTGAAACGTGCAAATCTTCCTCTTCTGTGACTAAGATTTCTGTTCTCTGATCCCCATTAGCATAGGGCCAGCTTCCAAAGGAATAGGACAAGAGGTGGCGGGAAGGTAAACTTCCTGCATTCTTTATATTTTTACCTGTTATATTTCTGCAGAGGATTCTGGTCCAAAGTTTGGAAAGCACACCTTGTTAAGTTGTAAAAACCTCCTTTAAAAACAGCTTTATCGAGATATAATTCATATGCTCTACAAGTCACACATTAAAAATGTACAGTTTGGGGGCATCTCGGTGGCTCAGTCGGTTAAGCACCCGACTTCAGCTCAGGTCATGATCTCAGGGTTTGCGAGTTCAAGCCCCCCGTCGGGCTCTGCGCTGACAGCTCGGAGCCTGGAGCCTGCTTCGGAGTCTGTGTCTCCCTCCCTTTCTGCCCCTCCCCCGCTCTCGCTCTGTCTCTTTCTCTCTCTCAAAAATAAGTAACCATTAAAAAATCTTTTTAAAGCGTACAGTTCAATAATTCTTAGTACCTTCACAGAGCTGGGCGATCATCCCAACTGATTTTGGAACGTTTTCATCACCCCAAAAAGATACCCCATCCCCATGAGAAGTCACTCCCCCACCCCTCCTCCCCCAGCCCCTTGCAACCACTCATCTGCTTTCTGTCTCTGTGAATTTGCTTGTTCTGGACATTTTGTATAAATGGGATCAGACAACATGTGGCCTTTTGTGTCTGGCTCCTATCATCCGGCACGATGTTTTGAAGGTTCACCCGAGCGCGTGTCAGTGCCTCGTTCCTTTTTGTGGCTGAGTAACGTTCCATTCTGTGGATGGACCACGTTTTGTTCATTCACCTGTTGATGGACACCTGGGTTGTTTCTGCCTTTTGGTGGTTGTGATAGGCGCTGCTGTGAACGTGCACGTGGAGGTTTTTGTGTGGATGTTTGCCTCAGTGTCTCTCGGGTCTACACCTAAGAGTGGAATTGCTGGGGCACGTGACAATTCCCTGCTTAACATTTTGAGGAACTGCCGGGCTGTTTTCCAAGGCCGCTGCCCCATGCTTTACATATTCCAGCCAGTACCGTCTGAGAATTCTCCTTTCTCCACACCCTCACCAACGCTTTTCACTGCCCGTTCTTGCTTTCCGTTTCATTTATAACCATCCTCATGGCTGTAAGGGGGTCTCTCATCGTGGTTTTCATTTGCCTTTCCCTGAGGAGTGATAATGGTGAGTATATTTTCACGCGCTTGTCGACCACGTGTGTAGCTTCTTTGGAGAAATGTTTCAGTTGCTTTGCCCGTTTTTCAATTATCTTTTTTTTTTTTAATTTTTTTTTCAACGTTTATTTAT